AACTGCCTAACACGGTTTAAGAAATCTCAGATTAATTGAACTGATAAACAGAATTTTTTTTATGTGGTTACACCATTGACATTCCTGCAATAGCAGGTACAACATCCTATCATAGCCAGGGTGAATATCCTTGGAGAAAAGAGACACAAACAGAAACTGTTTTAAGTGCCAATCCTCTGATACCTTCAAGTTTCCAGTAATTTTGTAATATAAAGTCAATTCGCCAAAGTTGAAAACAATTCATGTAGAACTCACGATCCTCCAAGCAGAAGAAATTTGTCATTGCCAAAAAATCCATCTCCAGCAAACTAGTAAAACAAGAACTTAAGTCCCAGCACTCTCTCAAATGATCAGAAGAACTTTCAATGTGGGTAACTTAAAAAAAAAAAAATCCACTATACAAACTGAATCTTTAGCTCCCTTCTAAATAAAACAAATTCTGAAGTGAGTTCAGCATATGGAAATGTCAGAATGATGGTTTTAATTAGAAAAGTTAAAGAGAGATAGAACCTACAAATCATTTACTATCTTAACTCCCATCCCCTTCACCACCACCAAAAAAAAAAAAAACACAGAAAAAAGTTGTAACTCAGAATACACTCCCATTCAAAGAGTGCTTATGCAAAGGACTTCTATCACATAATCCTAACAGACCTGGAAAGAAAAGAACCACAATCTGGTCTTATCAAGCCAACGTGTGAGATACGGATTGGCTGAGCCAACTTGAGTATCTATGGAAATCAAAAACTATCCCTGGGTCAATTCCGGCAACAATGGTGTATAGTAGACATTGCTACTACTCCATGTTCCAGGCTAGCAAACTAAGGCTGAGGATGGATCTGAAATCACTGGATAAGCTTTCAAAGCTATATTTTGCAAAAAGGATTTATCTTGTCCTTGTCTTCACAACCAACCTTGAAATTTGGTAAGAGAAGCATTTTTTTTATTGGGCTCAGTGACAGAGCACTTTCATTATGAGGTCCTGGGTATAGTCCCGAACAATGCGAAAAAAGAAAGAAGAAAAAAGAGCCGGGTGCCGGTGGCTCATGTCTATAATCCTAGCTACTCAGGAGGCTGAGATCTGAGGTTCACAGTTCAAAGCCAGCGGGCAAGAAAAGCCCGTAAGACTCTTATCTCCAATAAACCACCAGAAAACTGGAAGTGGTGCTGTGGCTCAAGTGGTAGAGGGCTAATCCTTGAGCTGAAGAGCTGAGGAACAGCGCCCAGCCTCAGAGTTCAAGCCCCACGACCGACGAGGGGGTGGGGGGGTGGAAGAAGCATCTACCCAGATTGCTAATGAAAATGAAGAAAACAGCAGTCATCTCATGGGTATCATAACTTCACTTCAAATAAGTCCTGATAAAACTGCAATCCCAAAACTCTCCCGTGATCTCATAAATGATCCCAGAGCTTCTGTGCAAACATTCTCTCTCCCATACCTCTCATTCAACTTTGCCTTTCTTTTCTCTTCAAAAAAGTAAAATGCATACAGCTGAAGTCTCTTCAGAGAACTGGAATGCTAATTTAGAAGTGATACAAGATCAAAGCTGGGCGCTGGTGGCTCATGCCTGTAATCCTAGCTACTTAGGAGGCTGAGATCTGAGGATCGAGGTTCAAAACCAGCCCGGGCAGGAGAGACCGTGAGACTCCTATCTCCAATAAACCACCAGAAAACCGGAAGTGGCGCTGTAGCTCAAGTGGTAGAGAGCTTGCCTTGAGCTGAAGAGCTGAGGGACAGCGCCCAGGCCCAGAGTTCAAGCCCCACGACCGACAAAAAAAAAAAAAAGAAGTGATACAAGATCAAAAAATGCTCATAGCAAATTTTATTCCAAGTACATACTTCCTTTGAATGAAATATAACTTGAAGAATTCCCTTAGTACTAAAATCACATCAAGCTAGCTAATAAAATTAAATTGTATTTACAGGAAAGCTTTAGAAAAAGGCACAGATGTTGTTCTATCTACCTCTTATACCAAGATAATGGGTCTTGCATAATAAGTCTGGGATTAAAGGAAAAAAAAAACTAAAATTCTAGTGAGGCATTAGTGGCTCATGTCTGTAATCCTAGTACTCAGGAGGCTGAGCTATTGAGGATCCAAGTTGGAAGCCAGCCTGAGCAGACAAATCAAGGCAGACAAATATGAGAGACTCTTCTCTCCACTCAAAAAGCTCTTCAGTAAAAAGCTTAAAATGGAAGAAGAATGGTTCAACTGGTAGAGCACCAGCTATGCATGAAAAGGTAGAGCAAGAGTAAGTGACCCTGAATTCAAGCCCCAATACCAACACACACACAGCCTTTAAAATCAGTATTCCAAACCTGCCTTTGTCTCACCGAGAGCCCAATTCTAGAAACCATTTTACTCTATTCGCCATTATCTGAAATGGAAACAGTAGCTAAGAAAACACTATCTAGCCATGGTACATCCCACAAAATTAAGAGTGAGGGAAGGGGTGGTAAAGGAGGGATAGATGAGAACGTTGAAATGAAAATATATCTTGAAAATATACTTTATATATTTTATTCATAAACTGCTTTGTTAAATAGAAACTCCTTTGTACAACTACAGAGATAATTTTAAAAAAAAAAACTTAACCTTAAAAAAAAATACATTGGTGCTGGGAAGGTGGCTCAGTAGTAGAGTGTTTGCCTTGCATGCTTGAGGCCCTGGGTTCGATTCCTCAGCACCACATAAGCAGAAGAAAAAAAAGCCAGAAGTGGCGCTGTGGCTCAAGTGGTAGAGTGCTAACCTTGTGCTGAAGAGCTGAGGGACAGCGCCCAGGCCCAGAGTTCAGGCCCCATGACCAGACCCCCAAAAAATATAAATAAAAAATAATAAAGGTAGACTTTAAAAAAATACATTGTCTGGTAGGATTGATGGGAAGGTGATATGCTAAAATATTTTGGCAAGAATGTAACAAGATAGATTGAAAAAAATAGTCTAATTACAAATTGTTTAAATAGGGATTCAGGTGGACCCACTGCAACAATGAGATGTACAAGACCTTATGTCAAAAAACGAACTTTACAACTTTGGGGGGTGGAGGACAGGGGAGAGGGGAAGGGATGGGAAGGGGAAACAAAGGAGGAGGCAACAATGCTTGATAAGAAATATACTCATTACCTTGCCCATGTAATTGTAACCCCTCTGTAGGGTATTTTCACAATTTAAAAAAAATGATGCTTATCAAAATGAACTCCAAGAAATGGAAATAAATAAATAAGTACCCCTGACAGCCCCCTCCCAAAAATAGTATATTTCATAACTACCTAAATAGTCTGCCCTTTGGGCCATTGCTTTCTCAAAACCATAAAGAAGACCTCTTTCCAAAGCAAAACCATATCGATCATCTATTTAAAATTCTTTCAAATTTGCCACTATGAAAGGGCCAAATCCACAGCTCAGAGCATGACTTTCCCCCATCCCAGAGCTCTTCTAGCCTCCTATCTTGCTACCCATCCTCTTCAACAAGCTCCACTCAGGAGGACACTCAATAGCATCTGGGCCACATGCTATCCCTTCCATCTCAAATGTCCTACTCAACCCAGGCTCCTAGTTCCTTTTCTGCTAAAAGGTTCCCAGAGTGAGTCCCCTAAGGAAGAAAGATTAAGGCCAGGGTCCTTAGATCAAATGATTACTATTCTTATCATAATGAGAAATCAATACCCTGCCAAACATGAGGCCCTTCAAATATGAGGGTAAAAGTAGGTTCTTCTAAGTCCAGTACTGACTTATAATTTGTAATTGTTTGAAAATCTAATTCTTTTTTTTTTTTCTGTCGGTCGTGGGGCTTGAACTCTGGGCTTGGGCGCTGTCCTTGTGCTCTTTAGCTCAAGGCAAGCGTTCTACCACTTGCGCCACTGCACCACTTCTGGCTTTCTAGTGGTTTATTGGAGGTAAGAGTCTCACGGACTTTCCTGCCCCAGCTGGCTTTGAACCATGATCCTCAGATCTCAGTCTCCTGAGTAGCTAGGATTACAGGCGTGAGCCACCGGCACCCACCTTAAAATATAATTCTTTAAATTATAAACAAAAATGAGCCAGGTGCCACTGGTGGTTCACACCTGTACTCCTGGCTAACTACTTGGTAAGCTGAGAATGAGAAGACTGTGGTTTCAGGTCTGTCCAGAAAGAAAAGTTCACAAGATCCTTTCTCCATCCATGGCAGAGTATAGTGGCATGTGCCTACTATCCCAAACCATGAGGGAAACTGAGATTAGAAAGAGCTTGGTGTCATCCTAGCCCAGGCAGAAAAGTCCATGAGACCCCCCCCCATCTCTATGAAAAGGAAGCTGCATATGGCGCATGCCTGTGGTCTCCACCAATAACAGAAACTTGAAAGCAGGTGGATCTCGGCCTAAGTGCAAATCCCGAAAGGAAGCAAATAATCAGTAAATAAAATAACCAGTAAACTAAAAATCCAAAAGGAGCTGACAGAATAGCTCAGCAGTATCATGTCAGATTAGAAAAATGGTGTTGAAGAAATATACTGGCATCAAGGCATTCAGAATATACTATTCAGTGAATCAAGCACATAACCATATGTGCAGTGTGAACTCATTAATAAAGAGCAATGATATCCATTTTTTAAAACCAATGTGAAAGATGTATATACAAAAATGTTTAACGGGGATAGGAAAATAAGTAATCGGGCTTTTAAATTGTTCCCAGATTTTTTTTTCTCCTTCCATAAACATATCATTAGAAATACTTAGAAGTGACTCTAAAAGAGTCATCTGCCTTATGCTCACTCCCAGAGTCTTTAGCATCTCCACTGGGGTCATTTCCCTAAGAGTTTCTTTCCCAGAGTAATATCCCACCTGTCTGGAACCTCACCATAAGCCGACCTTCTACACTTCCAAGCCACTTCAATTCTGGCGCCACCAAAGGGAACACAGGGATCAGCACGCGATCGGACTCTGATCCGGACTAAGCCAGTGCCTGGGGTCCCGCACAGAATTAAGCCCAGCCCTCCACGTCCACCCCGCCAGGTCACTCACCTCGCCCGAGGGCGGAGCCCCCCGCCGGACCTCCTCGTAGGCGCCCACGTGCTCCCAGGTGGCCAGGAAGGCGTGGGTCGGGGCGAAGGCGGCCGCCGAGCGCGGGAAGCCTCGGCGCACGTAGCGGGCAGCCAGGCTCAGCACGGCCGGGGAGGTGTCCTGGCGGTACAGGACGCGGCCCCGGCCGTGGCTGGTGTCGATGTCAGCCAGGAAGGGGGCGATGGCCGGAAAGTCCGTAGGGAAATCGTCGTCCACGTATTGGGTCTCCCTGGGGAAGTCCTGGGTGGAGATGATGCCATTGGTGCCCACCTGGGAGACGAGAAGGGCGGAAACGGTGTGGCCCTTCGAGGGCTGCTCGGATCGTGCGCCCACCACCCCGTCCCCCAACCCATCACCTTGTCCCGCACCCCGCGGTCCCCGCACCACCCGGTCCCCCACCACCCCAGCCCGCAGGGAGGGGAAGGGAACCGCTCGGCACTCCCGTCGGCAAGGAGTCAGATTCAGGACAACCTCCAGGAGGGTCCACCACCAGCCGGGTGCCATCAGTCGGAGCAGACCGTCTATCCGGTGGCTCCTAGCCCCACCCCGCAGTCCACGTCTCCGGGGAGAGCGCCTGTGGATGGCGGGGCAGCCCGGCCTCCGCACGACCCCTCTCCTTCTTTCCTGTCTGAGATGCCCGCGCAGCCGAGCTCGGCGCCCGGAGTCCTCTCCCCACACACACCCCAGCCCAGCCGGGGTCCCGCCGCCGACCCGCCCCGCAGCCGCGCTCCCGGGAAGGCCGGGGCAGGACCCTCCGGCGCGGGGCGCGGGGCGCACGCGTAGACGCCAGCCCCGGGGGGAAGCGGCGGCGGCGGCACCCGCGCGGAGGGATGCCCGCGAAGGGCGCTGCACTCACGTAGAGGTGGCCGAACCGGGCGTCGTAGAAGCGCAGGGGCGCGGCCAGCCTCACCGCCGCGGAGCTTTCGTCGTCGCCTTCCTGCAGCAGCTGGTCTCCCCGAGACTCCCCGTAGGGGAAGAGCTCTTCAGGGTGCAGCGCCCAGCCCCGCGACAGCAGCGAGAACAGCAGCAGCAGCGACGGCCACAGCAGCGATGGCTGCCCTACCCTCCGGTCCCCCCACATGCTCGCTCGGCCCGCGGCGGTCCCGCTGCAGAGCGCACTCCCAGCCCGGCCCCGCCAGCCCCTCTAAGCCTCCAAGCCTTCCAACCTGGGTCTCCGCGGGTGCCCAGGCCGGGGCTGGGGGGGGGGGGGAGGGGGGCGGGACGGTGGGCCCGCCCTGCGCGCTGATTGGCTGCAGCCCTCGACCAGAGACCAATCAGAGGCTCTGAGAAAGTTCGCCAGCGGCCACCGCATCTGGTTCTAGTTAAATGCTCCTAGCAGCGGTGGGGGCTTGGCCTGGGTAAAAAAAAAAAAAAAACCTGGTTGAGTCTCCTCTCCCCCCCCCCCCACCCCGGGACAGTCCCGCCCCTGGGACCTAATGTCCTGCGGAGACTGGGGGCAAAAACCTGGTTGAGTCTCCTCTCCCCCCCCCCCACCCCGGGACAGTCCCGCCCCTGGGACCTAATGTCCTGCGGAGACTGGGGGCGGCCGCACTGCCGGAGGGACCCCGGGTGCAGCGCGTGCAGCTGCAGGCTGCAGCGGGGCGGGATGGTGAGGTTGCACCCGGAGGTTTGGGGTCACGGACGCCCCTCTTCCTTGAGGACAGGCCCTAGGGGAGAGAATCGCTGGGGCCTGGCGGCTGCTTCACCGCACTCGTTGACCCCCTGCGGAGGAGCTCAGCCCTGGGGGCCTGACTGCCCTCTGGCCTGGCGGGACGCCGAGGACGGGCGGGTCCCCCTGGATCAGACCGAGCTGTCCACACTCTCCCCTGGAACGACCGCGGAGCCGACTGCGGGGATTTGCTCGGTGTGGGCACACCAGGCTGAAATGGACCAGGCATGGGGTGGGGGAACTAATGCCTGCAGCCCCAGAAGCTACCCTCGCAGGCGACCGCCAGTTGGTAATCTGAGCTGCTCAGTAGGGCTGCACTGGAAACCGCCCAGCCCAGAAAGCGTCTGAGCGGGTGTGGGGGAACCCCTTGGCACCATAAACATCCCCTCTGCAAAGCCTCAGGAGCCCAACGAGGTTTTATTACTGTTTTACTATCAAATACTTGAAATTACCCACAGTCTGTTTTCCCCTCTTACCCTACCCCACCCCCCCATGGAATCCTTAGAAACAAAAGTATTTTTAAAGAAAGAAAGAAGCAACACCTTGGAAATGCCCTAAGGGACTCTCTCAAAAGACAGATTTCTCTTCAAGGGTATTTATTTGAGCTAACTCATCCCTGACTACACGTTTACAGGCGCAGATACTTAAAGACCTTAAAGAAATCAGACTGTGCGACAGAGTCAACACAAAAGTGGTTTGTAAAATTTGTCCCAAGCAGTTTGCTTCCTAGGATTATAGAGTTGTGTATTATATATATATATATATATATACATATATATATACATATATATGTATATATATATATATATATATGCTTGCTTGCACACATTTTTCTCATTTTCCCCCCTGGGGCTAGGTATTTTCAGTTTAATGAGGATGAAATGAAGATACTGGTGACTTGTCCAAGGTCACCTTCAATTATTCCAAGATCTAAATTCCTTCACTGACTCAAAGTTTTTCCTAATCTCTCAATCAGCCTAGTAATCATAGCTAACCGTGATTGGTGGTACGGAGCTATAAATTAGTAAGACAAATGGACTCCTCGTTGGTCTCCACACCTCTTACGCTAGTTTGTATTAGCCCTGCCCCAAGAGTGTGGCAATAGTAAGAGGAGCTCATTTCAACGAAGTGGTCCTGTAAGATTGTGCCTTCAGCAACTAGCTTTTAGTTTACCGAAATACCAGGAGGCTGAAACACGTGGAGGGGTGGGGGGTGCCGGAGAGGGGAGCATTTAAGGAGGAAAAGAAGATGAGAGACAGGAGCGATAGTACAAGAGAATTGATGGGTAAATATAGTCATCATTGAAAGGATCCTTCACTTCCACCCCAGGGGACTACCCGAATTCAAGCAGGCACAGGAGAAGGATTATTATAAGGTTTGTTAGAGGAGCCCTATTCGCCTAAAGAGGGAGCACATGGCATCCATCCCTATCCAGGTAGCAGGAGGGGGGGAGGGGAGGAAGTGAGGTAGGGGTGTGCTCAGGTGGGCTGCGTGGAGAAAGGGAGTGGCCAGCTGTAAGGGGGAAAACTCCATGGCCTGGAGGAGCTCAGATATGGGTGGAGCAGAGGGCCAAAGGTAGGCATAATGCTAACAATCATATTCAATGTCAATATGTGAAAATGGAACCAGGTAACTTGAGGGAATGGAGAGGTTAGGAGAAATGGGGGAGAGTGATGGAAACGCTGAGGTTGATCAACATGCATTGTACTCACTAATTGACATGCTAAATTGAAACCTCTTTGTATAACTACCTAAAGATAACTTAAAAATTAGTATAAACTTAAAAAAAAAAAAAAAAAGATTGTGCCTTCAGTCTTGCTCTCCTTGACTTTGATGAAGCTAGCTATTACAAAGAATGGAGGGCAGCCTCTGGCCAACAGCCAACAAGGAACCGAGTTCTGCCAACAGTGCTGTAAGTGAGCTTGGCAGCAGATCCTTCCCTAACAGAGTCTAGAGGACACCAGAGCTCTGGCTGACTCTGATCTAAGCCTCGTGAGAGAGCCTGAAGCAGAGGACCCAAATAAGCTAGGTCCAGATTCCTGGCCCACAAACTGTGAGAATTAATAAATGCATGTTGTTTTAAGCCATTATGTTTGGGAATAATTTGTCATGCAGCAATAGATAAGTGAAACAGCTTGGCATTGTGGTAAGGAAACTAAAGCTTGGAGAGGTGTTTTGTTGGCTTTTTTTAATCAGTTACTGTCACATGGCTGGTGTTGCAGAGCTGAGATTCCATTGCTGCAGGGCTACTTTATTTTGCAAATAGCTATAGCCTAAACTCTCTAGCTTCTGTCTTGCCGTGACTACCCTCAGCTGAGACTTCAATGGAAATGGAAATGAACTGTGGCTCAAGTGGTAGAACACTAGCCTTGAGTGAAAAAGCCAAGGTGAGTGCATAAAGCCCAGAGTTTGAGTCCCTGTGCTGTTACACCCACAAAAAATATATAAGGCATCAATTGGACATCCTAACTTACACACTAGTCCTTTTACCTACAATGAAAAGCCCAAGTAAGATCCAGGCACTGGTGGCTCATGCCTGTAAGCCTAGCTACTCAGATGGATGAGATCTGAGGATTGCAGTCTGAAGCCAGTACCAACAGGAAAGTTCAAGAAACTCATCTCCAATTAACCATCCAAAAAAAAAAAAAAAGCTGAAGCTCAAGTAGCAGAGCACTAGCTTTAAACAAAAAACCTTCAGAAACAGCACCCAGACCCTTTAGTTCAAGCCCAGGACTGGCACCAAAAAAAAAAAAAAAAGAATTAGAACTCAAGGCCCTGAGTTGAAGCCCTAGTACTAGCACATAAATACATACATACATATATACATACATTTAAGAAATGTATGTTGAATGAATGAAGGCAAGCCAGTCTGAGATAAGGACCCACATTTGCTGGCTCAAAATCTACCTTTCTTTCCCTTAAAACTTCTTTTCATCTAACCTGACCTGACTCTTGTAGTACTTTTTGCCAGATTCCTTAGCAACTCATCTATGACTGCTGCCCGATTTTCATGGTTGTCCTTTTCGTTCCTCCATCCATACATTCAAACAGCTATTTCCTGCAAATTTACCATGAAAAGCACAACTCTGCAAGAAACGAAGGAGGGCAAGACCCGGCCTTTGACCATAATCTCATGATCTGGTTGGGGAAACAAAACATAAACATGAAAAAAAAAAAAAAAGAAGAAGGCAGGCCACAATATAGCATGCCTTTAACAGCAAAACAGGCAAAAGTGTCCTTTGAACCAAAAGGATGACGCTAGTTTTGAATCAGATACTAACAATCTGAGTACAATGAAGTGGGTCCAGTAGAGAAGAACTTCAAATGAGAGATCTTGTTTCCCTGCATAAAGTGGCTGAATTCTTCTTGAAATATGAGGCTTTGGACAGCTGTGCTTAAGCAGACATTCCTTTGGGCTTTTATTCTAATATTATTTTTAAATGACTCCATGGACCTAGAAGAGTGGTTTGGCCTTTAGAATGTCACTTTGTGTCTTGAGGAAAAGAAAAAAAAATCTGTCAAAGCTATTTCACTGGTCAAAGTAAATACTGAAGAAATACTTCTCTTGTATCCACAGCTCCCTTTGCAAGAGCAGAATTTCCATAATCTTCTAGACTGACTGAAGTGGCAACAGCCACAGGACTTCTGTAGAAGATTTTAGCCCTCTTGGGTTGTATCTTCACAGTAGACTGAACATTGCTTGAGAAGCACAATTATTTTGTTCAAGATTTTCCATCCCAAGCCAGGGATGGTACCAGATGCCTTGCCAATTGGTCTCAAAAAGAGTCTCTACGAGTTCTATTTTTTGTGATTGTATTTTTTTTCTGTAAATACCAAGACCTCAAGAATGATAATACTTCCTGTTATTTTAATCAAGAGAATGAAGGCACATTTGCCCCACAGCATGGCAAATAGAGGTAGGTATTCAAGAACAAGTTCTATGTATAGCTCTGACTGGTGTATGTACATGTTTGTGTTGGAGGTGGGCTTAGCAGAAAACATCCTGGTTCTTAGTGCACACAAGGATTCTTTGCATAACTTTATTATCCATTAAATTCCAGGATGGGTGTGCCAGCATGTGGAAAAAATAGAGTTGGGAAAAATTAGCATGTCTTCCCAGACTCAAGTTTAAAGGAAGTTAACTTAGGGCTAAGCAATACTATGGAGAAAGTATTTGAGCTGAAATGCACAATACGCAATGAGTTAAGCTTACAGGTTATTGGATATGACTCACTGAAGATGCCACTTTGCCATATTTTCTGGTATGGAGAGTATGGATGCTTTCTTCTTGATTTCAGAAAACTCATATTGTTCAGGTACAGTGTTCAGGTAAAGAGAGAAGGCAGGCTTCTCTCTCAATGCTAGCAGATGAACTAACATTGGTTAAAACCAATGGTGAGCCAGGCACCGGTAGCTCACGCCTGTAATCCTAACTATTCAGGAGGCTGAGATCTGAGG